GTGCCCCCGGCCGAGCGCGGCGGTGCCGGGGAGCCCCGGGGGTCCCGTCGCGCCCCGTATCCATCGCTGCCAGCGCAAAGCGCCTCGCTTGGGTTCCTTTGAAATCCGCAAATTTTAAGGATCGGCGTTTGTGCGCTTCCATTAATAGAAGCGACTTGTGAAAAATAGGGCATATGAATATGGAAAGGCAGTTTTAATGCGATGGGCGCTTGGCTGGACCTGCTCTCCTGCTGGAAACACGCAGAGGCAGGCACGGGCTCCGGCTGCCCCACGGCCCTTGAACGGCTGGAGCAGCCCAAGGGACGAAAGAAGTTCGGGGATTTTTCCTGTAACGGGGCCACGGGGAAACCGCGCCTTTGGGGGCCTCCCGTCCGCCCTCCGCCAGTCCCGATGGGTCTCCGTCCCTATCAGCTGTGCTCCTCCAGGGACCGCAGGGGTTATTTCGATGCTATCGCGGAAACAGAGCAGGCTGTTTCTCCCACGGAACAAAGGCACAGGGCCACCTCAATAGGCCAAGTTCCCTGTACCCCCGTTTTCTTGCAAACGGAGCTCCCCGACAAACCGGCTGCTGGGGTAGAAACCCGGCGGTATCACCGGAGGGAAACGTGGGCTTAGCAGCAAAACAGAACAGAGGAGGGGGAAAGCGTGTAAATTTCCACCTGAAACGGTTATTCACCGCCCATGCTCGCCACCTCTGGCCTGAGAATATTTCCAGCGTTATGAAGGCTTTTGCTCTTTCCACAGGTGAGTTCAGCCTAGCTGCACTCACTCCATGTCCTAGGCTTCCGAGGTTTTCCAGTGGGCTGCAATAAGGGCTTTGAGTGACTTAGAACATCAGTAAACGCATTTCCACAGAAACGTGGCGTAAATTTGGAGGAAGGTAAGCTCTGGAAAGGCAGAAGATAACAAAAGTTAAAAACCCACCCTCACAAGAAACACTAAAACCTGCAGGAGTGATAGCCAAGTCCCGGAATGCCAATACAGCGTTACATACGGGCAGTGCGTTAAACGCAACCGGGGCAACCGGCACGGCAGGGGATTGCGCTCGGCGCTGCTGACTGGCTCCCAGTGGCTGAGCCGGACTCGCTGGCCCGGCTGGGAAAGAGGATTAAGCTCCGGAGCACCCAGCTGCCACAGCGGCGCCAGGGCTGGCACCCTCGGAGCGGCACAGGCAATGCTCGTTCCCACACCCCAGCCCAGCGGAGTCGCCATTCTCGCTTTCTGCTCTAACGATGGCCAAGCTAATCTCCCGGGAGGGTGAAGCAATTAAACATGATCCTGCTGCTGCATCCCGCAAGACAGCCCATCAGCCAAGGGCAGCGGTGCAGCCTGCCCGCGGCTCTGCTGCCGGAGCTCAACGGGCCACCGAAACCTGTCTAAGTGTAGCAGGGGTTCCTCGAAGGAGCCTCCTGTGCCGTGCCCACTTGCAAAACACATAGCACGGCCCAGAAGAAACAAACTAAAGGGGAACGGAGCACAGGGTGTCCAAAGGGTCTCCTGGGTCCCACGGCGGACGCGCCTGTGTCAATCCGGAGCGACATGACACAGGAGAAGGGAAGTGGCCCTGTCTCGTTTTTAAACCTGTCTGTCGGTGCGCGAGCAAAGCTCAAACACCCGGCACAAAGCTTTCGGGACGCAGCCCGCGCTCAGGGCCGACGGGCCAGGCCCGAGCTATGACAGGGACTCTCTCCCAGGTGCTGGGTGGCGGGGAGGCGAGCCAGGCAGCGCTTCGGCAGCAGGAGGCTGTGCCAGGCTCCTTGATCTTCGCCATCGCCCGCCGGCAACGGCAGAGGAAGGTGGCTGCGAAGCCCTGGAGGAAGGGAGGGAGACTACCGCGCCGCCCGCCCGCCATCCCAGGGCCGGGCTCTCCCGCGGGGCGGGCCGGGCTCGCCCGCGCGTCCCGGAGCTGTCCGTGGTGCTGAGGGCGGGCGGGGCCGCGGCCGCCCGGAGTGGCGCGGGTGGCCCCGCGGCTGGAGGGACCGGAGTCGCCCCGCTCCTTGCGGGCCACTGTCCGGCACGGGGAGAGCACTCACTCCCGACCACCCCGCAGGCTGCCGCAGTCCCTCGCGTACCGACAGCCCTGCTACAGCCTCACGGGCCGTTTCCATGCTCAGCGCACCGACACACAGGTCTTTTCCAGCGGGTACCGGTATTTCCCGCTGTTTAAGGCTGAGAGTCCCGTTAGTCTGGCAACAGATGAGTTTGGTTGTTTGTTCACAACCACTTCCAGGGCCGAGAGCAGGTCCTGGCCCAGGCAGGGGCAAAGGCTGGAGAGAGACCGAGACTGAGGCAATTCAGCAGTGTGGGGCGGTCACGGCGAAAGCAGCTGTCCGGGAGCTGAAAGGGGAAAACCCGAGTGGCGCTGCCAGGAAGGCAGCGCAGCCAAGCCGAGCAGCGAGCGGTGCCTGGCCCCGCGCCGTGCCGTTCCCGGGCGGCGGCAGACAGACCCACGCGTCCCGGCCGGGCGCCCGGCTCTTTGTCCTGCCGCAGCGCGCTGTTATGCGGGCCCGAGTGCCGGGGCTTTGACAGAAATAACGAAGCCTACTCCGACAAGGTTACAGCCAGGCCACCCGGCCGAGCAATTTCTGGGGAGCCTGACCTTGAGTCGGCTCTATCCCGGCGCGAGCGAAGACAAACGAAGAACTTCGGTTTGCAACCCCGCTTCCCACACGGGGAAAAGAAGAGTGAAAGAGAGCGATTCTTGCCCCAAACCTCCTCACGTTTACACGCACTTTTCAGTTGGGTCTGGAAATACGTTTCAGGAGAGGTTGCGGCACCTCGCCCCCCTCCTCCTGCACCCCTGATTTAAACACCATCCTACACGGCACCGGCAGCTCCTCAGCCCCGCCTCACTCATCTCGCTCTTGTTTTCTGCCGTTCCCAAAGCACTAAAAGCTCCCTGTCCTGGTGGGCACCCCGCGGCAGGTCATGCTCGTGAGGGGGCCACTCATCTATTTTGCATGAACTTTCCTTCCTTGTTCTCACTACTTTTCAGCGAGTTTATGCAGTCAAAACCGAGCCATCGAGAACAACGACCTGGGACTAGCTTTTCCAGATGGATTTCCTCCTTTCGTAAAGATTTGTTGCTTAGACTGAGGAAAAGGCCCTAACGAGTCGAAATGTCCTACCTCCTTCCCCAGCCCGCATAGGATGGGTTTCCCGGGAAAACCTCGGCGGCGATGCGGGACAGACGGACAGCTCTGGCCACTCAGGGACCTGCTTCCGGTTGGTTCCAGTGGGGGGTATTTGGGGGCGAAGGCGCGGGGGAATACTCAGTAGCCGCCGCAACACGGGCAAAAACCGAAGTGGGCGTTCCCGACCGGCTCCCCTTTTGTTAGATCAAGGCAAAGGTCAATATGGTTTTAACGCGAATTTATTAGCACAGAAATCAGCAAGCCGCTCGCTAATTAGCAAAGCCCAAATAAACGTGCCCGGAGGCTTCTCTTTTCCTTTTTTCGTTTTTTTCCCCTTCTATCTTAAAAGAAAGGGGCCCCACGAGCAAAAATAGAGAGAGAGAGAGGAAAAAAAAAAGCGCCAAACTCTCAGAGGAGAGGATAATATGGGACTTTATGAATGTTTTATAGGTAATTGCTGTATAACTTTCTAATTTCGCAGGGGGGTGTTCACCTCTAAAGGCTGGGGACAAACCCGTCCCCGGAGTCCAGAGGAGGGTCACAGCCCCCGGTCCCGACCCGCGCCCCCTGTGCCCCCGCGGGACGGCCGGGCGGCCCACGCCGGCATGGGGAAGGGAGGCACTCGGCAGGGAAGCTGCCAGGGGAAGGAATGGGCGGGGGGGAAACGGGCACACACAGCAATAAAGTTCAAAGGCCAGTGGGGCTCGGGAGCTCCGTGTCCGCCGGGACCCCTCCGCCCTCATTGCCTGTTTCCCCTTGTTACTCACCCCGACCGCCGGCTCTCAGTGCGTGTCCCAGCTCCGTGCGGAGACAGCTACCGGGCCGGGGCCACGGCCCCGAGCTCTGCACAGCCCCGTTGCACCCGCCCCCAAGGGGCCAGAGCCACTACCCGCTACCGCCCTGCCCAGGTGCTTAAAATAACAGCAAGGGGCTCGACACCTGCGGGGGATTTGATTTTCCTTTAAAATACAGATAGGGAAAAACAGAGCCTGTTAAGAAACAATTAACCTAAAATTCAAAATATATTCAATATAATATTCAAAATAAAAAAGTGGCATCTACTTTTTCTACTCCGAATTTTTTGAGTTCTCGTCACGGGGAAATTAGCTACCTTGAATTTTCGTGTTTGTTTAAAAAAGATAAAGTTTATTTTTTTTCTTTTTTTTTTCCCTGTGATTTTTCAGTCACAAAAAAAAATCTATATTTTGTCATCTAAGCATTTATTTTACTGAATCCAAAAAGACATGAAAAGGGATAGGGAAGAACCACGTTTGTTCGTTTTAAACTAACGAATAGAAGTGAATTTTTTTCTCCTTTTTTGGACGACATATAATAAATATGATATAGCACTCAGCACTCGGTCTGTACAATTCTGTTCGCATTAGGGAGCATGCCACTTTTCAATAAGAAAAGAAAAAAAAAAGGTAATGAGAAAAATCAGTGCAAAGTTCTCCGTTCCCCCGGTCTTCTCCGCCGGTCGGGGGTCGAGGCGCTCTCATTCCCTCTGTCCTCCGCAGCCGTTAGTCTCTCCGGCGGCCTCGGGCTCGGGCTCCCTCTCCCTCTCCTCCTCCACCCCCTCCGTAACTCTCTCTCCGAGCTCCAAGTCCTGCCTCGCAGTAGCCGAGGTCGGCGGGTCGCCCCGCGGCTCTGCCCGCCTTACCCCGCGTGTGGTCGTTTCACTTACGGGCTTGGCTCTGGGTTCACGGTTCAAGAGTCCCTGCTCTGACTGATCGCCTCCCTCGGTGGCCGGTGACTGCCTGCAGAAGCTCCTGCCCCTCGGCTTCCCCTCGCTTCCTCCTCTGCGGTGCTGGGGCTTGTTTGGGGACGGGGAGGGGAAGGGCTCTTTGCGGGGACCGCGGTGCCGTTTCACCGGGGGTGCGGGGTGCCAGGCATGGGGTTGGCCAGGGGATTGAGGGCCGGCTGCCCGCCGGGCCCCAGCCCGTGGATCAGCACCCGCGGCACCAGCGGCCGCTGGAGCTGGGGGTGCGGCGCGGGGGGAGTCCGGTACATGCTGCTGTACATGGCTGCGGCCGCCGCAGCCGCCGTCGTGCTGTCCATGCTACCCAGCAGGCTGGGGTGATAGAAATAGGGCGAGGGGAACATCCGCTGCAGCGCTGAGTAGTTCCCGGCCTCGGCCAGCAGCTCCAGGCCCACCGCCGTCTGTCGCTTCCACTTCGTCCTGCCGGGGGGAGCAATAGGCTGCAGGGCGGGCGCCGCGATGGGGCACCCACCCACACAGCTTTCACGGGGCTCCGCGGGCGGCGAGCCCGTCCTCACCGCCGCCCCGACGGAGCGCACTGTCCCCGCGGGCCCGCACACGGTGAGATCTTTCCGACTCTGTCCAGTTTCCCCTCCGAGCCCCGCACCCCCTGACACATGCATACGGCGACTTCGGCCAAATTAATAACCGCGGTACACGGTTAGTTCGCAACGCACTGACACTAATGGTTTGCGACAGAATTAGGGTGGCTGCAACCGTATGTAATGAGACAGAAAATTACGGCAGCGTTGACAGGGGCCGGACCCCCCGGCCCACCGCCGGGGAGGGCGCGGGGCAGCAGTCGGGAGCTCCCCGCACCATCCCGGGCTCCCGCTGGCAGAAACCCAGAGGCGCAAGCCCGCCCCCGGCTCTCCGGGGAGACCCTGGGCCGCCGCCCTGAAGGGACTCGCCTTACCTCCGGTTCTGGTACCAGGTTTTGACCTGGGTGTCGGTGAGGTTGAGGGCGGCGGCCAAGTCCATGCGGTCCTGCACGCTCAGGTACTTCTGCCGCTCGAAGCTGCGCTCCAGCTGATTGAGCTGATGGTCGGAGAAGGCTGTTCGTGCCTTCCGAGGCTTCTTGGCCCGCACTGGCGGGCTGTCCCGGCTGCTGCTGATCTCTCGATCGCCCTCCTCCTTTGTCCCTGTGAGTGAACCCAAGAGTGGTGAGGACCGGCGAGACACCAGCTCGGCCCCCGCCCCGCCCCGGTTACCGGGCCCCGCCGCCCCCTCCCCGGGGACTTCTCCGGGGCACGGGGGGAACGGTCAATTATGGCGGGGGGTGGTGGCGGCGAGCCCGTCCGGGGAACAGCGGGATTCCCACTCTCCGTTTCCCAACTACAGGGCTTTCGTTATTTTCTCGCTCTCTCCCCCCTGCCCGAAACGCCGGGAAATCGATCTGTCAATCCGGCTCCACTCGGGCCCCAGTTTGTGGCGCTCCTTGATCTTCCCCGCAGGAAGAACAATAATCTCCCTAATTGACCCACTGGGGAGGTTGATGCACACAAAAATGGCCAGACCAGACTGTACATCTGGTTTGGGCACTCGTATGCTAATGCTAAAAGCTCAAAATGAGCTGCACTCGCGGACACCGCGCCGCTCTGAGCCCGGCGAAAATAGCTCAGTTGAGCAAAATTAGGAAAATTTGTCCTGCTGCCTCTCGACTGCACGGGGTTGCCTGCGGGGAGGACAGCTCCAACGATACCGCAGAGAAAATATCTCCTCTCCCTGCTTGCCTTTCCTCACTCTTGTCCTCCTTTCCCCTTCCCAAGCACACATAGCTATTTTCACTTCCGAACCCCGCACGGTGGGGGCTTCCCTATCAGCATGAAATCCCTAATTGAAAAAAAAAAAAAAAAAAAAAAATTGAAGATAGAGAAAATAAACCTTCTATTCCGGCGCAGGGAAAACGCAAGGGTTTTGCCAAACGCACAAAGCCCTCACATCTCCCTACGCCGAGCGCGGGCCGAGTTGTTGTTGTTGTTGTTATTATTATTATTTTATTTTTAATTAAAAGTTGGGTAACTTGGTTTGGGTTGGGGTTTTTTTCCGTTTATTTGGTATTAACTGCTAGGGAAGTAGAATTTTTTTGTCTTAATTTTAGATCGAATGAGCAAAAATTAAAAGGCTGAATGCACTAACTGCAGCTGAGCCGCCGGTTCTTAGAAAGCCGGATAATCATTTATGTGCATTTGCATTAAAAATAAATATATTCTGATTTCCCATGCGATCCCACTGCTCGGACTATTTCCTTAAAAACGGGGAAGCCAAATTAAAAAAAAAAAACAACAACAAAAAAAACCCAACCAAATAAAGGAGGAAAGGCCAAGAGATATTAAGGGAAAAAAAAAAAAAAGCCATTTTATTTAATTTAATTTCCTACCGACCTGATCCCCATGGTAGCGAGGATCACTGAGCGGCCCCGGCAGAGAGAGCGCTCCTATCGCAGATTTTCTCCCCCATTTTCGTTTCACCAACGCGGCCGAGCACCGTGGCCCCAGTTGTACCGGCGGCCGAGCCGGTGCAGAGCCGGGCCGGGCCGTACTCACCGTGGCATTTGATGTCCCCCTGCGCGTCGTCGCGCTTGTCGAGCTTGGCTTTACCGTCCTCCTGCTCGAGTTTGGGCCTGAAGCTCTCCGGGGCTGCGCTGCCCTCCTGCTTGGGAGTGTGGTGTGGAGAGGGGACGCTGGTACTGTAAGGTGCACACGCCGCTAGCGGTTTGCTGTCGCCCAAAATGTCCTTAATTAAAAAAGAAGAGGTGGAAGTCCTGGGGCCGGAGCTGGCCGAGCCCAGCTGTGGCGGCGGTGGCTGCGGGGGCGACGGCTGCAAACTCGGCGGCGGCGGCGGGTGTGGGCCGAGGTGGAGGTGGTGCGGCGGCGGCGGGAGGCTTTCCGCAACCCCCAGGTGCGGCTCAGGGTGCTCCATGCTCACCGAGATAGGCGATGAGGGCGCCGTCCCCACCGTGTCGATTTCCGAGCAAGGGGACGGCGTGGCCTGGCTCCTAAAATCCGCCGGCCGGCCGTCGCCATGGGGGCGAAAATCTCCGTTCATGACTCCGGGGCTGCCGGTGCTGCCACCCGACAGGATCGTATCTATCCCGAAGCTGGACCCGCTCGTCCCCTCCATGGCGAAACGCTCAGCGCCGCGTCCGCATCCCCCTGGGCGGCCGCGGGGGTCTCTCACCGGGGGTGGAGGAAAAGGGATGGGGGGGCGGAACCGGGTTACCCCAACCCGCGCACCGGCGGCGCGGTCGACACTAACTCGGGGCCCCCGCCGAGCCCCACATCGCCGCCGGGCCGGTTCGCCACTAACCAACTTTGTTGCGGGAAGTTGCGGGCGCGGAGCGGGGCGGACACCGGCCACTGCGGCGCGCCCGCCCGTGCCCACCGAGCTCCTCTCGGCGGCGGCGACTCCCCCCGTGACGTCACAGCCGCCGCGGCCCCCCCGCCGTTTATTATAAACCCGGGCTTTTGCCGCCGCCGCTGCCCGCCCCCATTGGCGGAGGGCCGGGAGGGGGCTGACGCAGCGCGGGCCGCAGCCAATCTGCGGCGGCGACGGACGCGGGAGGGGGGAGCGCGCCCCCGCTCCCTCCCGGGCCCGTCCCCGTCCCCGCCGCCGCCGCCGCCGCCCCGTCGGGCCTCGATTCCTCTGTCGCCGAATCGGATCCCCCCGAGAGTATCATCCGGTGTTCCCGGGACGGTTCCCCGGCTGAATGTCAGAATAATGGGAAGTGCCAGCGACAAGACGAAGTATTAATCCTGATGAAACGGAGTGTCAAGATAATTAGAAGAGTAATTATAAAGGTGATAATGAATGATTTAGAGTTCTCCGAGTTTTATTTTAGTAAGTAATTACAATTTCCAGGTTCCTATGAAGCGCAGCCCGACATCCCCCCTCCCTCCATGTAGTAACCTCTAGACCCGACCAGCCCCGAAAACATCATCCACAACGGCAGACCACAGGGGAATGGGGCACAATAGTAGGGGTGCAGAAAAGGACTGGGGCAGAATGACTGCAAGAGGGATTTTGGGGGGCTGGTGTTCAGCGACGGCACAAGGTACTGCCTTGTGTGTAAGGCCGCTGGCATCTCCGCTCCGCATACAACGGCTGTCCCGGTGATGGGTGTCCATCGTCAGCCTGGAGCAAGTAGCGGGGATGGAGGACATGAAAGTCCATTCTAAACCCGTGATCGGGAGTGCCCAGTCCGGCCCTGCACAGTGCTGCTGTGCGGGTGTGGCGGCAACGCGGGTGCGTCTCCACCACGCTTCCCATGGCGTTTTGTTTCCTCCGTAAACAGTTCTGCTCAGAGGTACGGAAGGGTGCGGGGAGCGCACGGGAAGCACAAAGAGCACGAGAGACCATGTTCAACCGGTAACTCGTTGCGGACGTTTGGATCCGACGTGAGATGCCGCAGCCCCGGGACAGCGGTGCGGGATTAGAAGCTGCGCCCCGACATGACAGATGGCGATGTGTAGAGTGCCGCGGCCCTCTGCTCTGCTTCCGACGGCTTGGGGCCTGCCTTCCCTCATAAGGAGGGGGGCGAGGAATTTGTGTCCTCGCTGGTAAAAATCCAGGTGCTTCCCAGGGATTCGCCGGTCACCGGTGACCTACCCGAAGATCACCAGTCCTCTCTGGGTACCGCAGCGGGAGCAGGTCCCGGCCTCACTGCCGCACTTCGGAGAAGGTTTTTCAACGTCAGCAAAGCCGGCCCACGGGCAGCCCGTTGCTACCAAACATCTCCCACTCCATCCCAAAGGCACGCATGGCCGTCCGCCGTCCCACGGGCAGCCGGGGGCAGGCAGTTGTACGGTTTGCCGCCGGGCTTTAGGCACCGGTGCTGAGCCCGGAGGCCGGTGAGGGAGCGGAGGCGGAGGGCCCGAAAGAACTGTAGGGCCGCCCGTATCCGCTGGGCGGCGGTGGCGGCTGCCCCCTTGTCCTCGACGGGCGTCCAGCGCGGACGGGGCCGGAGGCAAGCCCCGGTGCGAGCAGGGCTGGCAGCACGGCGAGGTGACCTCTTATCAACACGTTCCTACAGATTGAGGCATTTGAAGGAACAAGGAGAAGAAAAAGGAGATAGAAGAAGAGGTGAAACTGAGGAGTAAACTGAAAGAACAGGAGAAAGGGAAAAATATTTAAACATCTGCAAGTGCATGGGCAGGTTTTCTGCAGCAGGGAAGCAGCTCCCGGTGCCCATGTTTATCTTGCTGCCTTGGTTTGCAATTTACCAAAACTATGTCCTAATTACCCCTGGGGGAATGTGGGATCCGGGGTAATATGTTACACTAGCATAATCCTTTAACTCACAATACACTTCCCCGTCTCGGAAACGGGATTTAGGGCTTAAAGTCGTGTTCCTGAAGAGTGAACACTTTTCATTTCCTTCCTCTTATTTTTTTAATCCTCGACTCCATTGTGCAGAAATATTTAGGAGAAAGCGGCAGTGAGTCCCGCCTCGGCCGGGGCAGCCTCTCTGCTCCCGGCCGGGCTCCGCTGAGCCCGGAGCTCCCGCAGCCGCAGCCCGGCCTGCTCCTCCGTGGTCACCGTCGGATTCCCGGAGGGCTGATCAGCCCTGTGCGGGGGCATGTGACGCAAAAGGCCTTCCACCTCCTGCTGGCACCCTCTGCGGGCGAGGTGACCAGCGGGACGCCCGTTGTACTTGTTGAGGCCGGGGGTAGATCATGACAGCTGCCTCCCGGTGTCCCCTAAGTCCCTGACCCTCCTTTCCCATCTATCCCACCCGTCTGACTTCGGGCAAAGCCACGGAGCTCCCCTTCCAATAAATCAGCAACAGCCGAATCAAAGCGATGAGCGAAGGTGCCACTCAGAGGAGTCGGACAGGGCTCCCACTCGTTAATTAGCAGGCAGCTAATTAGAGCGGCACTTAAAGTGCTAATCAATGGCCCGATGTAGGCTGGGGCAGCAAGCGGCAGGGACGGGGTATCATGTGCCCGTTCGACGCCGGTCCTTGCCTGGGGGGCTGTCCCGGCCGAGGCATCACGGACCGGCCCCAGGCTCTGGCCAGCGGGGTCCAGCAACTTCCACCGTGGCCGTCCACGGGAAGCCCACGTCCCATCGAGGGGGACCCCGAGGAGTGGGGTGCGGAGCTCTGGGGGCTCCTCCGCCAAAGAGCTCGGCGATGGCAGGGCGCATCATTTCGGCCCCGGAATGGGTTATTTCCTACTCGAATTTTGGTGCGCAGTCGTGTTAGCTCACTGGCAGCACCGCAGCTCGGAGGGAGGGGGGGGCTGAAGGGGGCCGGGAGGGGCCGAGCCCGTTGTACTGTGAAATTTAACAGTCTGAACATCCCTTTATTAAAAGCTGCTGCTTGACATTTACACTGTGCCAACAGACTCGCCGTCTAATCCAGGCGAAAATATATTGTACCTCGGAGTAACTGAGGCCGTTGTGAGAGACGCTACAGAACGTTTCCAAGCGGGAGCAAAACGGCGCGGAGCAGCGCGGAGCCAGGCGCGGAGCGAGCGTGGCCGCAGCCCGTTCGTCCCCGGGCGGCGGCTCTCCGCTGCCTTCTGCCTTTCCCTTCCTGAAAGAAAGGAAAAAAAAAAAAAAATAATAAAAAAAAAAGGGTGGGGAGAAGAGGAAAAAGATCGAAGAAAGTTAACTTTGTGTTCCAAAAAATAATCTCAACGTTTCCTGCTACTGTTTTGGTTTTGTGTTTTTTTTGTTTTTTGTTTTTTTTTGTTTTTTTTTGTCAAATGTTTTCCCCGTTGCAGGCGGAGGACATGATCAGAAATGCTCAGGGAGCAGAAAGCACATTGATTTCAGCTTGTTCTGTCCGCAGACAGGCCCTGACAAGGTTGTTAGAACAGTTGGGGAGGTCTCTACAATCACTTAATTACCAAAGCTGTCACTCAGGCGGGACGGGACTGGCCGCTCATGTGGCTGCGAGGAGCATTCCACTACTGGGTTTCCTCCTTGATGGATCTGTGCTGATGGCATTGCAAAATAATTATAGTGAATTTTCTGATGTGTGATTTTATACCACGTTCATGCTTCAGAAAGGTAATCGGAAGGATGAGAAGGGTCAGTGCCATTTCAGATTACCTGAAGTCCAAGCGAAAGGGTAGAAAAAAAAATAAAATAAAACGAACCCAGGGAGCAGAGAGGAGGAGGGCTGCGAGGAAGGGGCACAGCGATGCGATTGAGAATTGCTGAAGGGTATTGCAAGCAATTCGTCAAACTGTGCAAGTGATTTCCTTCCGAGCCAACAAATGGCAGATTGATTTTGTCCAACGTAGGTTTAGCCACATTTAAAATGATCCAGCGGTTATTACTGCGATTGGCTTTGCAGCTGACAGGCAGTTGTAGGCAGAAGGAGAATAGATCCTGTTTACAGGAGACGTGTTCTTAACTGCTGTCAAATGCAGTTAAGTAAATATCATTAGGAAGAAGTGCTGTTAAGAGAGAAAAAAATGCCAATCCGATAAATATGCTTTTCCTCGTCTCAGATCCCTGCTCTTCTCAGGAAGAAGGGAGGAGCCCGCGCTTTCCAGGCCGGGGGGGCTCTTTCCTTGGAGCTTCAGCATTGGGGTGAGGGGGGATCATGGGTCCCCGCCATGACCCTTTCCCACGGGCCGGCCGGGCCGTGCACATGAGGGCCTCCCCACACCGAGTTCGGGGCTCCTGGGCTTTGTCGGGAAAAGGGGAAATAACGAGGTCGAGGGGGGAGGCGCCTCGCGGCGGGGACAGGACACGCGGGGGCAGCGGCGATCCGCACCGCGGAGGCGGCCCCGCTACCGCTCTGGGAGCTCCGCAGCGGCGGAGGACGGGGGGCGACGCCGGTCGAGACTTCCGAGCCCTGTGCTCGTCCAGCCCCACCAAAACTCCGGGTCTCGCCCCGGCCAGCCAAGCCCGCCGCGGCCGTTCGGAGCCGCCCCGTCGGGGCTCCGGCCGAGCCCGAGGAGCGGCCGGCGGTGGCGGGAGGAGCCGGGCAGCGCCGCCCGGCCGTGCTCGCCGGGGCTGCCGGCGGAGCTGGGAGGCGGGCGGGCAGGGCCCGAGCTGCCGCCGCCTGCCCGCCGCGCCTCCGCGGGGCCGGGAACTGCCCTCCGCCGCGCCCGCCAGCAGCGCGGCGTGCAGCGCTTTGGTACAACAAGCGAGCCGGCTCCCTC